TGGGGCAGTAGAAGGTGTCCCTGCCCATGGCAGGGGGTGGAATGGGATGGTTTTAAGGTCCCTTCCCACCCAAACCTTCCTGTGATTCCCTTGTTTGTGTTTCGAGGCAGCCAGTGACTGTTTAAGGAGCACAGTGAAAATGCTCACAAGAATTTAACTGCAATAAATTTGTGGTTTGAAATACACAATATATTAAATTAAATCTATTAAAAATATATATTAAATAGTTATTTTTAACACAAACACACACATATTAAGTTATGTACATGTACTTCTGTGTTATTACATACATCAGCCCTGGTATGAATCTGGCTGCCACAGACCCCAGAGCTGTGCTTGGCTCTTCCACCTCTCCTTTCCTTGGACAAACACACCTTTGCCTTCCAGGTTGAGCCTTTCTACCTCACTTTACCTTTAAAAAGCCTGGTCCAGAGCTCCCCACCCTTGGCTCTTAAGCTCCACCGAAGGCTCTCAGTGGTTTGGAAGAGGTCAGGACCCGGCTTGGAGCCCCAGGGACAGCCCGGCCCCCAGCCCAGCCCAGCCCGGGGACACCTTACCAGCGAGGAGCACCCAGGCGGTCCCCAACAGCTCCGCGGGATGGCACAGCAGCATCTGCCGAGGAAAAACAGCCCCAGATTGTCCTGATGTAAAATATCCGCCTGGAATTCCGCGCTGTGCTGAGAGCAGCAGGTGAGGCTGTGCCGTGGGGATGCAGCCCCGCGATGGATTCCCGATGCCGCGGGTTTCCCAGCCCGTTTTCCTGCCGAGTCTCCTCTCCCTCCCTGCCCATTCCCCTCCCAGGAACCCTTCCCGGGAGTCTTCCTGGCAGCAGTGGCAGCTCCCGCTGCTGTCCCCGCTCCGGCCGCTCCCCGCGGTGGGAAGGAGCTGCCGATGGCTCCGGCACCGCGCAGGGATCGGCGGCTCCCGAGCCCCGGGGGCTCTGCCGGGGCGGGACAGGGGGTCCCACAAGAAAAAAAAAAATTACAAGGGACACCCCAAGTCATTTCCACGCCCCAAGGTCAGGAGATCCATCCCCATCCAGTTCAATCTCCCTGAGCGGAGCCCAGCTCCTGGAGCGGAGTTTCCAGCACCAGCACCAGCTCTGGGRGAGCAGGGGCTCAGTGTGGCTCCAAAACACTCCTGAGAAGCTTTTTCCTCCACCCTTTGAGGTGCGCTAGGATYATCTGCATCCCACAGGCTTGCTGCACAGCGAGTCTCAATTTACGGGAGAGACACTCCTGGGGTCAGACCCGGGGACCAAGAGTCACCTCCGGACCGAGGAGCTGAGGGATGAGGGATGGGGGAAGGTTTAGGCTCTGCCCCCCAGTGCTGAGAAAGTTTTCCTGCCTTGCTGAGCACGGCCGGACCCATCGGAGCCCCACGGAGCTCCAAAGCCAGACATGGGGACAGGAGAGGCGTGGGAGAGGTGTGGGAGGAGCGTTAGGGGTGGACGGGTGGGGTGGGTGACCCCGGCTGGGCAGAGGGCACCGGTGCGGTGACACTCGTCACATCAGCCCGGATCACCAGCCGAGGAGGGCACCAGACCCTCACTGACCACACCCCAGATATCCCAAAGCACTTCCCTCCACGTCCCCTGGCCAGCCCCACACTCACCTTCCAACACCTTTTCCCATTTCCTGACCTTTCCTTTCACCACCTGTCYTCTTCCAAATCAACCTGCTTGTAATCACCTTTCCCCACTGGTCCTTATTTTGTCACATCCATCCCCAACTCATGGAATTCCAGAAGGGTCTGGGTTGGGAGTGACGTCAAAAACCCATTCCATAGCACTCCCTAGCCAKAGGAGGGGATCCCTTCCACTGGACTCGGTTGTTCCAAGCCCCAAATGAGGAATGAAGCTAAAAATGTAAATACTTCTCAGCTGGGCTGGAAGCAACTTCCCTCTGACTTATCTGAGTCCAGTGAGGGGCCAAAGGCTCCTGGTGGCACCAAAAGCTGCACCTGCACAATCCTGTGAGCTARGAGTGAGCAGCGGGCTCTGGAGCTCACTGGGGAAAAAATGGAAAGCTCTGGGACACGCTGTAGAGAAAATGTGGGGCTCTGCTGTGACCAGCAGGTAAATGGGGAGGGTTTGGTTCAGCTGTTGGGCTGAGGACTCCGGGCAACCCCAAAAGCCGAAGGAGGGGCTGCACTGCACAGCCGAATGGAAAGGGAGAGTTCCCAAGGGAGGAATTGGGGTGCCGGGGGGACAGGACAACAAACAGGATTGGGGCGGGGGGGAGTGGTGAAGCCAACGGAAGGTCTGGGTGGGGCAGGGGGATCTTCTCAGGCTGCCCGAGATCAGGGACAGATGGCCCCAGAGGCAAAGGGGACCGCAGTGGGGGCCCTGGGTTGTGCAGACGGGAACGGAGGATCCCGGGATCCAGCACCGCCCTCCCGGCTCCTCTCCGGGTCCCATCGGCTGCGCTGGGCTCAGCCGCCTTCAAACCGTCCCCAGTGACCGGCAGGCGCCCTTGGGTGCCCGAAACWCCTCTCCGGTTCCCTCCCGTCATTCCTGCCTCCGTTTCACCCTCTGCCGCGATGGGCACCGCATGCTACAGCTCCTGAAAACCTTCACAGCCKCCCCGAACAGCGGTTCCTGGGCTGCTCCAAAGAGCTGGAGGGAGCAGCGTCACCAGCAGCGCAGGCACCACCGCGGGCCCCGGGGCCGCCTCGGGATGGGACTCGCGGGTTTTTGGAATGKTAATTTCTGGCATCTTGTGCCATCATGTGGCCAGGGAAAGGTCAGCGCAGTGGGACGGGGCGGGGATGAGCGTGGGATGGGAGGGATGGGGGATGCCGTGGGTGGGGCCACCCCCAGCCCGAATGTCCCCTCACCCAGCACGGTGACATTCACTGGGGCGCTCTCGGCCGCGCTGTCCCCGTCGCTGGCCCGGCACTGGTAGTGGCCGCTGTCATTGTCCCTAACGTGGCGCAGCTCCAGGCGGGGGCCGGTGCCCAGCGGTGCCCCCGAGCCCCCCCGGTGCCAGGAGAAGGACAGGGGACCTGAGCCCGCGGCCACCGAGCAGCTCAGCACCAGGCGCTCACCCAGTGCCACCCGTCCCCCTGGGGGCTGCGCCGACAGCGACACCCCCGAGAGCGGGACCCCTGCGGGGAACACGGGTGGGACTGGGAACTCCAGAAGGGACGGGGACACGGGGAGGGTTGGATTGGGGATTCGGAGAGGAGACCGAGGGAGAGGTGGGGGCGTTTGGATTGGGACCTAGGAAGGGATGAGGGGGCCCATGGGAAGGGATGCAGACAGGAATGGGTGTACGCGTGGAGGGGTGCCGGGATCCGGGGAGGGTGGAGGCAGCCGGGCAGTGGTGAGGAGCCCGGGGAGGGGTAGGCGAACGCGGCGAGGAACACAAGCAGCGATGGAGGACCCGGGCAGGGACGCAGGGGAGTGATGGGTTTACCCAGGCAGGGCTGGGGGCCCGGGGGGTGTCGCGTTCCCCGCGCCCATCCCGCACTCACTGCGCACCGTGACGCGGAGCCGGGCGCTGCTCTTTCGCACCTCCGCTCCTGTCCCCGAGCGCATCTCGCAGCTGTAATTCCCCGAGTGCGAGACCCCCACGGCGGGCACCAGGAGCTGTGGGGACCCTGCGGGCCCTCCACCAACTCCCGTGGGGGCACCCTCCAGCACCGGCACCAGGAAGAGCCCTGCGAAGGACACGGCGGGGATGGTGACCCCGAGTCGGCTGCGGAGGGGGTTTGGGGAAGCTCGACCCCTCCCGCCGTGACCGCCAGGAGCCCACCCAGCCCCGCAGCGGGAGCGGCCGCCGTGGTGCGGCTGAGGARGGGCAGGGACAGGATCCCCCGGGATGTGTCACCACCGGAACAGGACCCTCAAGGGACAGGATCCCCCGGGATGTGTCACCACCGGAACAGGACCCTCAAGGGACAGGATCCCCCGGGATGTGTCACCACCGGAACAGGACCCTCAAGGGACAGGATCCCCCGGGATGTGTCATCACAGGGACAGAAGTCCCCTGGATGTGCCCCCCAGGACAGAACCCGCCCCCCCGTCTGCTCCAGGAAAGTGAAAGTGCTGGGGCGAAGCTGGACAGCTGGACACCCGCATGTCCCCCAGCCCCTCCCTCTCCCTGCACCCTCCGCACCCCTTTTCCCCCTGGTGCCTCCCAAGAGGTTACCTGCTCCCTTGGTTAYCTGCTCAGGTGCTCGCCCAGCCAGGAGCTGCAGAGCTCGGGGTCCACCCTGGGAGGCGAGGGGAGGGTCCCGGGCTGAGCAGGGAGTGCCTCCCCCGACTCCTCCCGGGCACCCACAGTCCCACAGGCCCCTTGTGGCAGCTGCCGGGGACAGTGGAGGATCCGAGTGTTCAAAGGTGGCACCGATGTCCCCTTGGATGGCACCAGAACCCTCCAGGGTTCMCCGGGAGTGTCACAGTCTCAGAAGCCCTGGATCCCCCCGGAGCCCTCTGGGGTGCACTCTAACGAGAACTGCATTGGACCCTGGGTCACCCCAAAAAAGAAAGCCACCAGTGAAAGTGCTGCACCCCACGTGCCCACTCAGCTACTCCCCATCCCAGGACCCCCATTCCCCTGGGACCCCCATTCCCTATGTCCCACTCCCTGGGACTCCCATCCTCTTGACCGCAATCCCCGGGCCCCCCATTCCCCCAGGACCCCCATTCCCACGGGGTCCCCCCCATTCGCCTGGAACCCCCATGACCCCAATTCCCCGGGGTCTGCATTCTCTTGGGGCCCTCATCCCTGGGCTATCCCACCCATAGGGACCCCAACCCCTGGGGACACCAATTCCCCACAATCGCCATCCCCTGCAGCCCCCTCCTGAGGACCCCCATTCCCACAGCACCCCCATTCCCACGGGAGCCCCATTCATGGGTCCCCACATTCCTTGAGCCTGCCACTCTTGGGTCCGCCATGTCCYCACCCTGCCCCCACAGTGTGCCACCAACACATCGGTGTGTGGCAAAAAGTGACCTCGCTTCCTTCCTCTTCAGCCGAAGAGCCGCCATCCGGGGGACAAGTGGCTCCGGCAGCGTGTGACAACCAGCCCGGATGGCCGGGGACTCTGGAATGGCCGGGAAGGTGGCGCTGCTCCTGTGGGGTGAGTGYCCCGGGTGAGGCAGAGGCCGGTGGCACCGGCTACCAGGGGAGAGGGGGCACAGMGGGRCTGCGGGGTCCCCTGAGGTCCCCAACGCCCGCAGCGCCAGCCCATAGGGTGGACCCGGGTCAGGGGGTGGCCGTGGGGACAGGAACGGGGGACAGGGATGTGGGGATGGGGATGAGAGAACGGGGAGGAGCGGCACTGGGATGTGGGGACAGGGAGGAGGAGACTGGCACCTCGGGGTTGGGCAACTGTGGGGACAGGAGGAAGGGGACAGGGAATCAGGGACAAGCACCGTGTGGATGGGGACAGGTGCCATTGGAATGGGACCATGGGACAAGGCCATGAGGATGTGGCAATGGGGTAGTGCCGTGGGGCTGCTCGAGGGCGTGCCAGTGCAGGGTGCCCATGGTGTCCCCACACAGAAGTGGCCGTGGTGTCCTTGTGCCTGGGGTGGTCCCAGTGTCCCCGTCTCCAGGGTGGCCGTGATGTCCCATACCCGGGGTGTCCACAGAGTCCCCGTGTCCTGCCTCATCCCGGGGTGGTCGCGGCGTGCCTGTTTCCGAGGCACGCGTGCCACACAGATCCGTGGGTGGCTGTGACACACCCATGTCCCCCAGCCTCTCCAGAGCTGTTGGGGACCCCGTGCACTTTAAAACGAGAACTGGTGTCCTCACGGGGACACTTTGGGGACAGCCCTCATACCCGTCCCCTGGTGCCGCTGTGACACTACACCCAGTCTCTCCTTTCTCCCTTCCAGCCCAGACCCTCGGCCTCGCTGGTGAGTCCTCRGAGGATGCCCTGTCCCCRCCCTGCTGTCCCCAGCCCCACGGCGRCCCTGCCAGGCTGCTGTCCCCTGYCATCTGCAGGTGTCCAGAGCACCCAGCTGCTCGTGGAGCCCCCCTGGACGCCGGCGGTGCTGTGGGACCGGGTGACACTGACCTGCCAGGGCTCGGGCACCCGCGGTGCCACCACCTGGTACAAGGACGGGCGGCTCTGGTGGCAGGAAGGACCTGACCATTTCCTCATCACCGAGAGTGGCACCTACACGTGTGACAGTTCCGGCACCGGGCTCAGTCCCCCTGTGAGCGTCTTAAATGGTGAGCGGGAGGTGGGCGCCCCTCCGAGCGCTGGGTGGGCTCCGCACCGTAGGTGGCATCACACCCCTCGTGTGACGAGAGCCCGTCCCCTGCACGGGGACATCCCAGAGCATCATCGGAGCATCCCCTGCACACGCCAGGGCATCCCAGTCGTCCCAGTGCGCAGCAGTGCGGTGGGGCCCCGCTGGTGCATCCTGTGGGGTCCCTGTGGGTGCCCCCGGTGTGACAGTACCCCCTGTCCCCAGAGCGGCTGGTGCTGCAGCTGCCGGCGCGGGCGCTGCTCGAGGGGGACACGGTGACACTGCGCTGCCGGCGCTTGCGGAACATGCCTGTCACCGGGGTACGGTTTTACCGCGAAGGCGAGGATGTGGGGGGCGCCCTCAGTGAGAGGGGGACCGAGCTCTTCCTGCCCCCCCGGCAGCTGCACCACGGCAGCCGCTACAGCTGTGGGGGCTGGGTGAGCTCCGGACTGTCACCGTGGGCTGAGTCGGCGCCGGTGACAGTGACAGTGCACGGTGAGCAACCCCCCCACCCGGCACTACCGTACCCCCGCACCCCCCCTGCCTCCAAAGGGCTCGGAGACACCGTGTCCCCCCGGTGACAGTGCACAGTGAGAGCCTCCAAACCCCTGCACTCCCATACCCCAATACCCAGATACCCCAATACCCAGATACCCCCCCACCCCTCTCCCCAGTGGACTCGGGGTCTCCATCCCCCTCTGCCCCATGTCCTTCCCAGAGCTGTTCCCGGTGCCGGTGCTGGAGGCTCCCCCTGAGCCCACCGAGGGGTCCCCCCTGAATCTCAGCTGTCTCAGCCCCCCCAGCCCCCTGCGACCCCGAGCCCCCCTCCTGCACCTCTTCTACCGGGACGGGCGGGTGCTGGGGGGCCCGCAGGTGTCCCCACAGCTCCTGGTGCCCGCCGCGGGGGTCTCGCACTCGGGGGATTACAGCTGCGAGGTGCGCTCCGAGTGGGGGACCGTGCGGAAGAGCAGCGCCCGGCTCCGCGTCACGGTGCGCAGTGAGTGCGGGATGGGCGCGGGGAACGCGACAGCCCCCGGGCCCCCAGCCCTGCATGGGTGACCCCCTCCCGTTCCCTGTATCCCCGCTTCCCTTCCCGTGCCCCTCCCCGGGTTCCCCCACCCTTCCCTGCCATCCCACGTCCCTTCTCACGTCCCTGCTCCGTCCTGCGCTCTCCCTTCCCAACCTGGGTCCCTCCACCCCTCTCCGCGTTTCCCCAGTTCCTCCCTGGGCCGCCCCCCCTCCCCTTTCGGAGTCCTCACCTCCCTCCCTGAGGCCCCTCTGTCCCCTCTGTGATCTCCTGTCCTTGTCTGCATCACCCAAGCTCTCCCTGAGGTCCCTCCATGGCCCCCAGATCCCCCCACCCCTCTTCTGAGTCCCCTTCTCCCTGACTCGGGTCCCTCGTCTCCCTCTTATCTCTCCTCATATCCCTCCCCGTGTCCCCGTCCCYTCTGGAGTTCCCAGTCCCACCCGTGTTCCCCGCAGGGGTCCCGCTCTCGGGGGTGTCGCTGTCGGCGCAGCCCCCAGGGGGACGGGTGGCACTGGGTGA